AAAAAAAAAAAAAGATAACATTTTCATTAATGTTAATAGAACATTTTGATATACAAATAACATCCTTTATTTTTCCTTTTACATATAATTATCAAATAGGAACCAAAGGCCTCTAAGCTTTTTTTTTGGTCTTTTTAAGACAGGGTTTCACTATGCAGCTCAGGCTGGCCTTGAGCCCACTTTGTAGCCCAGGCTGGTCTCAAATGATCCTTCTGCCTCAGCCTCCCCAGTGCTGGGATTATGGATGCGCACCATCACAACCAGACTTCTAAACTTGTTTTTGTGCTACAAACAACCTATTCTAAGGCTGGCAATGTAGCTCAGTTGCAAAGCATTTGCCTAGAACACAGTGGGCCCTAGGTTCAAGCTCCCTCCCCACCCTTTAACACAGGAAAAAAGATCTTTTCCAGTAGAGAAAATCTGATCTTATAGCCTAACCTTCCATGTTCTCCTTCCTTTGGCCTCTCCTGCTTTCTCACTGTTCAGTATCCCCATAACTTGTTAATACCCCCACTGGAGAAGCACGGCACTCCTAAATAATACACCCTGAAGCAAGGCAGAAACTATTGGTTACAATATCCCATTAGGTGACTACTAGTGGGTTTAGGTAAGGACAACTACATTACACTTAAAAAACAAAAACAATCCAGTCCACACGTCAGACCAGTGATACCAGAGTAGTACTTTAACAGCTCCATTTCTTTGCATAAGAACAAAATAAAATGACCTGAGGGTAGAATTAATAAGACTATTCTGCTGGGTATGATGGTGCATATCTATAATCCCAGCACTGGAGAGGCTGAGGCAGGAGGACTGCTGCACAAGTCTGAGACCAGCCTGGTTTGCAAAGTGAGCTCAAGGCCCGCCTGCAGAGCAAGACCCTGTCTCAGACAAAAAACAAAACAACTGTTTTCTTCTGTGAGACCAAATGCACAGTTTTTAGAAACTTGAGTAAAGGTTATTTTTCTATAAATAATTTTAAAACCTAATATTAAGGTATGTTTGGCTTACTTTAAGAAAATGAAAATGTTTAGTTAAAAAATATAAAAGATGATAATTTCTAGTCCTGTTCTCGGGCTTGCCAGCTCTCGCTAGGAAGGGTAAAAAGGTGAGTACAACCTTTTCCTTTGAGCCAGTATGAACACTATGCAGCAGGATTTACACACAGATCCAAGGAAAGAAACACTGCTGTTGTTAACATGACAGTAACTGCACACTCTCTTAAGGAGCAGTCCTACAGTTGAAAAGGGTAACCAGAGCTTCGTTACTGTTACATAGTTTAGTAAGATGTTCATGGCAAACTCTAATCTTTGATTTTCTTTCATCTGAGATTCCCAAATTATCACATTAAATAAAAGCTGTATTACTTTCTATTAATCATTTTAAAAAATTAATAAAAAGCTGGTGAGATTTTTTTTAAAGGGAGAAAGAAACGCTATAGAAACTTAGTCTTGGGATATAGCTTGTGAAACAAGTGCCTGCCTGACAAGCACAAGGTTCTAAGTTTGATTCCAGTACCAAAAAAAAAAAAAAAAAAAGAAACTTTAAGTCCCTATACAGAAGGATTCTAATCTGGACTTTTTTATTAATTGTTCCTGACTGTTATGTAGGCAAGAGTTCCTATTTTCCTCCATTAGGGAAGTGACTCTGGATTGGTGTTTTAAAAATAAGACCAGAAATAGGTCAAATCCTATTACTGGGAATTAATTGAAGTACAGTTTATCTTGGTGTGTGGAAGAATTCCACTGCAGGTATGAATGAGCTATGGCTTAAGAATCTTTCTCATTGTGGCACTTTTCCATGACAAATGTCAAGGGTCAAAAATTTTAGGTGCATAATTTACTAGGAGCATTACTTTAACACTGGCTTCCTTTCCCCACCATAGAGTACCTCCAATTCAACAGAAATTTTCTGCCCAGTATACTTACTGAAGCACTTTTAGGAAACCAAAACTGTAGCAGCTGTGTACCAATTCCCCGAGATGAATATAATTATACACTGCAAACTTACACTAAAAAAAAAGCAGTTAGTTGCTAAAATATAAAACAGGGGTTCAGGGGCCGGGGAGAGGGCTCAGTAGAACAAGCGCTTCCCTGGCAATTACAAGGACCTGAGTTCAATCCCCGGTTCTGGAAAAAAAAAAGAAAAAAAAAAGACAGGGGTTCAAACATGGGCTCTCAAGGTCCACAGAAGGTCTACAAATGAGAGCAGTGCATGACAACATACACATCAGAGGTGCCCTGCTGGAAGGGGGTCCTTCCAAGGACCACAACTGAATTTACAAGAGGGCTGAACACTGCAATCAAGTAAGATCACTTTCATTGTTTGAATAAATATTTTTCACTTCACAGTGGAAGGCAGGTTATTCAGCTCAAGCAGTGAAAGCTACCAAGTCTGACCTTGTGTACTTCCTACCTCAGTGTCCCAGGAATCCTGAAAGACAGGGTTTCTACTACTCCTTTTGTTCTGTGGAGGGAGATGGTTATCTTCTTCATTGCCATTCCTTCTCCTTTTCCTGAAATTAAAACACAAGAATTAAAAACAATCCAACAACTGCTCTTCAGATTCATATGTATTTTAAGAGAGGGTGTCACTATGTTCAGGCTGGCCTTGAACTTGTGGCAATCCTCCTCCATCAGCCTCCAGCTCCTGAGTGCTAGGGTTAAAGGTGTGCACCACCATGCCCAATGACTTTTTTTTGCGGAACCGGGGATTGAACTCAGGTCCTTGCACTTGCCAGGCAAGCGCTTATTCTACTGAGCTATCTCCCCGGCCCAACTTTATTTTTTTTATTGGTATATCTTAGATATACATAATGATAACATTCATCATAGGGAATTCATATCTGTACATGATGTATCTTGCTTTTTTCCCACTCCCCTCCTCCCCCTAGGCTATTCTACACCATGACAACATATAAATTTGTCCTCTTGCCTGAAAAAAATTAACTGCCTCTGAAACCCCAATAGGGTTAAAGTTTTAACTACATCATCACTGGGTAGTAAGACCAAAAAATGTAAGATAATGGCAGCAAAGTCAACCTTAAATTAGTAAGATTAATTTCTAAAAAGAAAAGCTTGACAACTTTAAATGCCTACAAGAAATAAGAACAAGACATTAACGCTTAAGCTTTCAAAGTCAATTAATGTTTTCTTCCCAAGTACCTAACTTTTTATATGACATTTAAAAGAACAGCAGCTGCCTCTGCCTATTTGTCCTGAATACCTTTGTCATATAAATATATTAAAGGCTTGTGGCAGCCTTTAATCTGTAGTTTTCTTTTTTCTTTTTTTTCTTGAGACAGGGTGGCCTCCAGTGATCTCCTGTTAGCCTCCAGTGTGCTGGGATAATAGGCGTGTATGCCACCACACCCAGCTAAGTAGAAATCCTACATCTCAATTAGGAAGGCCAGGCCTGGTGGTGTATGTACCTGTAACCTCAGCACTCAGAAGCCTGAGGCAGGAGGATCTTTGTAAATTCAAGATCAGCCTAGGATATGTGGTAAACTCAAGAGTAGGCTGACAGGGGCCAGGAAGATGGCTCAGTAGAATGAACGCTTCCCTGGCAAGTGCAAGGACCTGAGTTCAATCCCTGGTTCCACAAAAAAAAAAAAAAAAAAAAAAAAAAAAAAAGTGTGTAGGCTGAAGAAGACAGAACAAGACCCCAACCCTCCTGTCTCCAAAAACACCCCATTAAGAAACAGAAACTAGTGAAATGGCCCAGAACTGTACTTTCCTGTAGTGGTAGCCACTGACTATATTTATTTAAATTTAAATTTAAATTAAAAATCCAAGGATGGCCACATAGCTCAGCAGAGGGGCTGGGGAGATAGCTCAGTAGAATAAGTGCTTGCCTGACAAGTGCAAGGTCCTGAGTTCAATCCCCAAGAAAAAAAAAAAGGGAAATACATAGCTCAGCAGATTAAAGCGCCTACTTAGGCAGACACAGGGACCATAGTTGAGCCTGCCCCAGGGCTGAGATAGCAACTGAGACTGGGCATAGTGGTACACGCCAGTGATTCCAGGGCTTGGGAGGCTGAAAACAGGAAGATCAGTATGAGTCCAATCTTGTAAACCCTGTATTAAATACACAAAAGAAATAAAATTTAAAAATTAAATTAAAAATCCAGCTCCCAGGTCATAATAGCTGCATTTTCAGTGCAACAACAGGGCCACAGGTAGGTAGGTGCTACCGCACTGAACAGCATGGAACTTTAGCCCCCTTACTGCTGAAAGTCCCACTGGGTATCACTGGCTAAACCAGCTGCACACAACAAAGCACTGCATCTATTATAACGAAAATGCCTAAAGTTTCACAGTTCTATAGTTATGAGACAAACGCCTAATAAAAGAAACAGCTTTTGGAAAGTAAATTTGGAGCATTTTCACTATCACATCAACTTTCTATGTGTGTAGAGGCTTCTTTTTTTTTTTTTTTTTTTTTTTTTGCTATGTATTCCAGGCTGGCCTTGAATTCACAATCCTTCTGCCTAAGCCTTGGAGTGCTGGGACCATAGGTGTGCACCACCACCCTTGGCCCATGACAATTCCTTAATCCTAAACTTGTAAGTTGAAGTCTGGATATTGTAGAAACTTAATCAGTCTAAGCTGACTGCCTTCTGTTTTACAAAGTGGAAATACAACTAACTTTATCAAATGTGTATGGACTCCAGTTTAGGTTTGGAATGATAAAAAGTGAATGTGTCATTCTGGTAATGCTTTTAAGCAACCAGCAGTAGGCTGGCTACACTATTAACCTAATTCTAACACTCAGTTATTTAACACTTGGTTATTTGTAAAATAACATCAAGATTTCTGCTTCCTCAGAGTTTAGATATTTCCACATTTTTATATTTATGGACATTAACAGCTATATGGAATCAATAATTAAGTGGATATACTATTATAAATCTCAACCAAGAACCTTCTATATCCATTCCTTTCTTTCTTCCTTCCTTTTTTGGGACAGGGTCCCACTTTGTAGTTCAGGCTGGCCCAGAACCCCTTGGACACCCAGGCTGTCCTGGAACATATTTCTGCCTCAGTCTCCCAAGTGCTGAGATTACAGGCATATGCCACCACGCTAGCTCATCCATCCTAATGTGACTAGACAATTTACATAGGAATGTGCTACTAGAGCAAAGTAATGTCTTCTGTCAGCCAGGTGACAAAGAGAAGCTCATCAAATGGCAGTCTGTTGGCTCAGAGCTCTAATTTTATCAGTATGCCAACAGCTGATTATGCTTTGGGCTGCTGAGTCACTTCAACCAAACTTAGAAGCTTGACCAAAATTTGCCATTTCCTCATTTATGACAGCGGATGATGGGGGGCTGCATGGCCAGGAGAAGTAGGAACAAAAATGGTCTAGTGTGCTGGATTCCAAGCTCTGGGAATGTCACATAAAATATCTTTGGCTCATTTCCAGTTGCTTTCTCAAGGAACCAGCATTATCTCCTTGGCCCACAAGTGGCCCTCGCCGGTGGATGGTAACAGATTAAGCCCGCCCGATTCTTCTTTTTCTAAGTTCCTAGCAAATTTCATCCTTGAAACATTCTGCTTTGAACAGTCTAGTTAATAACCAGCCAGGTTACTGCTTTTGACATTACTCAACTCTAATCAGTACAGTCAGGTTATAGCTTTTGACATTAATGCCACAACCAGATTGTAATTTTGGCAAGTGCCCTATAATTTTGACATTAATGCCATGACCAGATTATCATTTTGGCAAGTGCCCTGTAATTGATTATATTCTCCACTTGCCATCTAAGTACAGATGACTGATTGCTTGGCATCTGTTGCTCTGCAAGATGGCCAACCCCGCCACTTTTATCATGTCATTTCTCTCCAACCTTCCGGTCATCTTCTAGAGTCTAGAATTTTTTTGTTTTGTTTTGCGGTACCAGGGACTGAACTCGGGACCTTGCACTGGCCTGGCAGGCACTTATACCACGGAGCTATATTCCCAGCCTGGTCATCTTCTAAAGACAGACATAATCTTAGAGCATAAAGACTGACTTTCAAACTTTTTATCCCCTCCTTTTTATTAATACATGTATTTGTGCTAAATAATAAAAACATTCCCTACAGGGAACTGGTACATACACATATCACATCTTCATCCTTTTTTATTTTCACATCTCCCTCCTTTCTTAAAACTTTTTGACCAGGGAGATGGCTCAGTAGAATAAGTGCTTCTCTGGCAAGCACAAGGACCTGGGTTCAATCCCCGGTTGGGGGGCGGGGGGGAGAGACTTTTTAAAACTCATATACAAAAGTATATATATATATAAAAAAAGCATATACAAAAGTAAAAAACCTGTTAGGAAGAATGAACTCCCCCACCACACACCCACCTTTCTACAGCCATCGCAGACTGTGGTACAATCTGAAAAACAACCATCTTAGATCAACTCTTTGTTTTAAAAATGAAAAAAGTCTCAAGACATGAACTGACTTGGAGATACTAGTCTAAGTGGAGCAGGCAAACCAGGTACATCACAATCCATGAAACAAGAGAAAAGCAGGCTACAAAGCCAGTCTAATCAATTTGTTCAGCATAAAGTTATCAGTATAAACATGTTGAGATTATCTGTGTATGTACTAGATAAAAGGAATCTGCTATCATGATAAACACATTTAGGTTTTCTGTAAAAGGAATTTATAAAAATCAAAAGATAATGCTCTAAGAAATATGTAGACCTTCAGACATGAGACACAACACAGCCTATCAGAAGTATAAGCTGGGTTTGAGAAAAAAAAAAAAAAAAAGACATCAGGCTTACTAACTAAAGATTCTGCTGTCACGTCTATAATTGGGCCATAATTCCAATTTGGCCTACTTCAAGCCTTTCAACAGTCTTGTTAATAAATGGCAAGGTTACTGCTCCAGCTCCCCCCATAGTAGTTAATAACACTGTTGGCATTAATGCCATAGATCAAGTTATAATTTTGGTAGGCACCTTATAATTTCAAATTTAGTCCACTCTTCTTTTCTATACAAATACAGGCTTTATGCCCCACTTGCTACATGACCCAAATCAATAATTCAATGTAGTTTGGAGACCCTAATTTTCACTACAGGACCAAGTAACTTCAATACGCTTTTGAGAACCTCAATCCCCTGAAATAACTTTGTCAAAGAAGAATCCTTATGGAAAGACTGTCAAATATATTTACAGTGAAAAGGAGTAAGAAAGGCAATCCTACGGTCCCTCTTAAGCCCGGAACTACTATGGAATAAACGAAAGCGCAGTAAACTCGACAAGACTCGCTCTATTAACTGATTTCTCTAAATCTTGTCTTCTGATTTAAAAAAATTGACCAAGCTTAACTTGGTGATCTACTAGTAACTTCGAGGTCCTCGATGAAGGATCGTCCTAATTTGAAATAAAATGGAACCCTTTCAGCATAGGGTAACACATCCCAACTTTCTCCTCCCCACCTCTTGGTGGGGAATATGCAGCGGGAAGAAATCCCAGATAGGGCAAGACTAAACCCTCGGGGTAGTCCCAGACCCTGAGGCTCGGCTCAGTAAGCGCGCCTCACCAAGTAATCCCATCTCAAACGGCTCCGCTTCCAGACAGTTTAGAATCCCGTCTGTTAAGGCTACGGCCGAAAAGAGGCTCACAACCCACCGTGGATAGCTGCCCTTGCGGACTCACAGGGCAGCCTCCCGGCCTATCCTAATTCCTCCCGGCCGCTGGATTAAGCCCAACCCTCCTTCCTCCGACCTTGGGGTGCCAACAGCTCCCGCCCAGCGCCCTCGCGGCACTAAAGGGGATCCCTCTCCAGATCAGACGTTTCTCCCATCCCCCCACCCGCCCAGATGTAGGACAGGGACGCCTCAGGGCCACCGTCTCCCTTCCGGAATCGAAGAGACCTCATTCCAAAGGAAAAGACAGAAGGAGGGGAGACCTGGACCTCGGAAGTCACTTCTCCGGCCCCTCACGGGGACCAGGTATCCGGTCGCCGTCGCGTCCCTCTCCTCTGCGCCTCGGACCGCGAAGCAGCCCGCTCGGAGCACCGCGGGGCCCAAGCTCCCCCGAGTCCCGCCTCGCGCAGCCCCTCGGCTCCATCCCCCAGACCTCCGGGCGAGGAGGTGGAAAGGAAAAGGGACCCTTGTCATTCACCTGGGGCGGAGGCGCTCGCTCATCTTTGCTGGTGGAGAGCGACGAGGCGCCGCCCCGCGCGAAGAGCGAAACGAGGGGCCTGTGTTCGGGCGGCCGCCACGCCCACCCCCTCGGGCCTTCGCTCTGGCCGCCGCGCGGGTTGTCGCGGCCGGTGGCGAATACCCCCTACTCGGACCCGTACCACTGCTACTTCCGGCGTCTCCTCCGCGCCCCCCCATGTCACAACCGCTGTGGTACCACCCTCTGGCGCCTGCGCAGTCGCGCGATGCCGGCCTCGAGCACCGGTAACCCCGCCTACCGGAAGAGGCGGGCTCAGAGGGGAAGGTGCGCCCGGAGCTTCGGGAAGAGAGGACCTCTGTGGGGGTGGCTCACGCGTCTGCCTGTTCTCAGCCAGCGGGGCGCACGCTGTAGAAGCCTATCCAGATTTAAAATAATTTTAATTACGTCACATTCATTGATACAAGCGTTTGAGTTAAGTCTCGGTGAGGTAACAATCGAAAGGAATTCGGTGAGCCTTATCAGGCAGTGGTGCGGACACCCTGTCGCGGGTCCAGGGACGGGGGTTAGGAAGGTGCTCGTGGGCGGTGCCGGGGCGGGGGCTTGGCTGGGGGTTGCTGGGATTTTCCGATCTTGAGGTGCTCCGCTGAGTTGCTGCGCGGTGAGTTTCAAAGGGCCGGGTCCTTTCCCACGGCTCACGTTCTAAGTCCTGAGTGGACTCCCCCGAAAACAGAGAGCAGTGGAACGGCTCGTGTGGAGCCCGCGGTAGAGCTGCGGGGTGGCAGAGCCCGACCCGGAGCTGCTTCTCCGCCCGGCTCCTGAGCTTGGACCAAAAGGAAGGGTGCGGGGGTGGTGGCGGGGGCGGTTAGGCTGGAGAGGAATGAGAAAATCGGCGTAACTGAGTGTTCCTAGTGCGGCGAGGCTGGGGAGGTTGTAACTCGCTGCTTTCCGGAACTTTGCCGGGGGCGGACTGCAGATAGCCCAGTTAAGTTGTGTGGGCTGCGGGACGGTGCCCCGTCCAGCCCCCGCACGCTGCAGTCCGCTTATCTCGCGTTGTGTCTGACGCAGGCTGATGTTAACTCGGGGAGCGGTGATCGGAAAGCATGGGGATCCAGGAGAACCAGCGGCCAGGTTAGCATCCTCTGAGAGGAGCTCAGGTAAGAAAACGGACCCAGGATGTCACAGTGCGGATCTACAGACGTACGTCTTTGCTGTAGGGTTAAGTGTGCGGTGTAGCACTGGACAGTCAGAGGCGTCGAACAGAGATTCTAGCCCTAAAGTTAATAACGGAAGGCGCAGGGTTTGTACAGTTTTATTTTGGTTTTGCACCCCCACCCCAGGGATTGATGAATGCTAGGCAAGAGCTCTACTGGTCAGCTACGCCCCCAGTGCTGTGTGTGTTTGCTTTTGGGTGTTTGTTTGTTTGTTTGTTTGTTTTCTCTCCTTGAGACAGACTCTAGCTATACAGCTGAGTTTGTAGCCCAGGCTGGTCTCGAACTTAGAACAATTTTTCCTGCCTCAGCCTCACCAGCTGGGAATACAGGTGGCTTGGTTATGCTTTTTTTCTTTCTTTCTTTTTTTTT